AGTGTTTGTTCTCAGTGTTCATGACAGCGTTCTCAATCAGCGATTTGATGCTTTGCTTGAATTGCTTTTGTAAGAAATTTGAGAAGTAGTAGATATTCATTTTCATGTTTTCTTAGTCCTAATCATATATTGGATGTAACTTTCTTCACCTCTTTCAATTAAGCTATTGGTTATATACTTTACAGTTATCCTACTTGTGCATTCACATTCTTACCTTGTCTTTTACACACCAAATGAACTGGCGAGTATTTGAAAGTTAGCAATATTCAGGAATCGCGGATATCTTAATCGTTTTAGATTATTTTTCCATGAGCTCTGCATCTTGAACATTGTTCATAGTGAGGAATGTCAAAAGAAGTAGGATTCAGAGAATCTTAGCTTAGTACCTTTACACTCATAAGCACTGCTTATGTGATAGCCTGCTGCAAGAAAACTAATTACAAATTTTCGCTATAGAAACTACTTACCAAATCGTTATGGTCGTTTGAGTAAGTCCTGACTTGGTGTCCAAATGGATACATTAGAATTTGCGAATATGAGTGAAAGGTAAGGAATGTATGAACTTTATGACGTGCCAGAAAATCTCGCACTGATGCTGTTTCAGGCTCAGAAAATGCGTATGCTCCCTGGAAAAATAAAGTTCTTGAAATACAGATACCTTCTGTAGCGAATACCTAGTACAAACCTGATAAATTTCAGAGCAGGGATCAGTAGATGAGCCGACCTGTCCGAAAAACCAATCAAAGTTGCGATTGAGATCAACACCTTGACAGCATGTAGTTCGTGGAGGGGAAAAGAGGCCTAAGCAATTTTTAAAGTAGCTCGATAATTATGGGCATAATAAGTGCCATCTTTTGCTATGAGTAGTGCTAGCTTACACTTTGGGAATGTATAGTCTTATTTTGCTTGCTCTTCCGTTAGAATCGAGAAATAATTTGTAAATTGCAAGATAGTTCAGTTTTCAAGCTCTGCAAGTTATAAGACTTTTCTGTTTTATTTGCAAAGTAATTAATTTTGTCATTTGTTACAGCTTCTTTACTTTGTTCTTGAACAAGGTTCTGTTTCTTGAAATTATGCTCAAATGCAGGTCTTATCATATGAAATTTGATTTCTGCATGTTCTAGAAAGTATAGGAATAAATTTGAAAAAAAACTTCAAGAAATAGTAAGCCTTTGTACTTGTATTAAGACCCTCTTTCAGCTATCGATAAATAAGTGCAATTAATAGAATTTCTATAAGTTTTATTTTAAAACAAATCCAAGTGTTTTTTTTTCAGAATAATATAGCTTTTTACATGTTACCAAGCAGTTTGCGCAAATCATCAAATTTCATGTATATATACGGCTTTGTAAATGTGACCTCTCTCTTTTGCGATTTCAAGATTTTTTGAACTTCTGAAAAATAAATGGACGATGTCTAACTTAGATGTCTGCTCAAAACAATTCTTAGCTGCTTACGATACGCTTAGATTACTTTAAAGTCCCAGACGTAAACGCTGTTTTAAAAGCTTTTAAAAAGAGGGAATGGGTAGAACTCTATAGGTGCTCATATCGTAATCCCTTGCCAAAAGATTAGACATCATCTCTACCTATCTTAACCGGATAACTCTACATTTAGGCACTGCAGGACGAAATAGATGTATTCTTTTTGATTGAAGTATCAAACACCCTGAGAATTTCCTAGAGCTAATCAATTAGAGAACCAACGAAAATTTTTT